AGGCAGGCTCGTATGGTTAGTAACGTTAATAGGAACAGCAGTCTTTGGCAAAACAGCTGTGTCAAACAACGAGGAGCACGACAAAATGGATGGAGATCTGGTAGCGAGGTAATATGCTTCTTTGTGTCGACGTATGACTTGGAGAGCACTGTATTTTTTTTCGATCGCTTAATGTTACGAAGTTCCCAGGTGCTTGAAGTTCATGCGAATCAATGATAATCGACTCATATTCCCTACAACGGTCAATGCCAATCCAGGCAAAGGAAATGTTCGACTTGAGGTACGAGAGCTGGTTTTCATTGCTTACGATGAATTTAATCTAGCTCTTGTAGCAGCACCTTCAAATCAGTGTGTGCAATTATGACTTCTTTGAACCTTGTTATTCTTATTTTAAACATTTTTTGTTTCTTTTTATTTTTTTTCCTTAATTTGACTTATATTTTTTCGATAACTTAAGTATATCTTTGCAGCATGGTACAGTGAAGATTTCACGGCTACAATTAGTGAATGATGTCTTTCTGAAGTGTTCGGTAGTTATGATTCTCATTTAGGTTGCCTTCATTCACCTGTTGGAACAGTTTCGTCGTGCATATATCATGGACCAGGTATATTCTGTGTACTTTCGCACGCAACTCTATCAATATTCATAGGGCTTCTTGCAGATAACTAAGTCGAGCCCTGTATATGACAAACTGAATACGGAGCTAGGCATTTCCGACGAGACAGACATGCTTAGTGTGATTGTTCAGAAAATGTGAGTAAAAAAGTTCTAATTTCGTGCTAAGCACAATTAATCATGGATATTTAAGCCTGACAAATTTGAAATACTGGGCAACAAACGAGCAAATTTTGGAGTTGTCATTGTCTCTTCTCAAAGATCTCTCACTGGGCTATACGGCAGTTCGAAAATTGTTCCGGTTACAGGAAGTTCAACTGCTTCTCAGTAATCATACGGTATGTAATATATTTTGAAACCACTGAAAAATATCGTGAAATACAGTTGCGGAAAATTGTAAGCGATGGCATTCAGGCCGAACATTTCGTATTTCTTGGGCAATCTGTACCATACTCAACTATGAAACATCGTACCGTATTCTACGAAGCTCTCACACGTCTTCTTACCATTGATCTCAACGATGATGAACAGTTGTTTGAACAGTTTATGCAGCCATTGGCAGGTCTGTCTCATTTTATTCCTCGTAGACCCATCATGGAATAGTAAAGAGTAGGATATGGAAGGGATGAGAGACTCCACCGAGGTTTTTCTTTGGCGTGTAGGCTTGGAAATTTTGCGGGAATCACCAGGAGAGGTAGTCTGTGTATGGAATCAAGGGAAATGGTAAAGCTACGCTCAACTTTTGATCTGCCCTTTCCTTGATCTTGCCAATTTTCATATTGAACTTCCTGCTAAATTTCATCTTCTCCAATCTCATTGCGGAAACTACTAACTTTCAGCGACCAGTCGGGAATTGACAGCCATAATGACTACACCGAACTATAATGGAGCGGTTAGTCAAGAAGAGTTGAAGGTTTGTTACTTCGATGAGGTTTTATTTTGTTAACTGTTATTTTGAAAACTCGTAATTATAGAGAGTCGTCGTAGGATTGTGTCGGGATTTACGAGGAGTTGCCGTTGCTTGCACGACCAAAAACTTGTTTCAAATAGTATTTGACTGGCTGTAAGTAGGATTTAATCAGAATTTTTGAGCTTTAAATAGTATGATACTTCCCATTCAAGATATCCTGACATGTTTAATATTATGATGCGTGCCGTAGAAGAATGGTCATCTTGCCCTGAAGTATGTTTTTAGAAAAGCTTTCCAAAATGTTGTTGTAGAAAAGCCGTTTTACTAGTCGGGTTCAGGTAATGACTCCGATTTTTCGCTTGCTGGCGGAGTTGTGCCAAAACCGGCAGCAACGTCTAAAGTTTGAAATGAGCAGCTGCAGTGCCGTTCTACTTTTCAAGGAAGCGAGCAAGATTATCTGCGCATACGGTTAGCCTTCCATATTGATTGCTTTCTCTTATTTTTTCTCAGTGCCATTTTACGTACTTGAGACTTCGACGGTTACGCGTTTTTTCGAATCACTAATGCTTAGGTAATAGAATTCTTGTTATGCCTGATGTGCCAAAAGAGCGTGCTTATGCCGAACGNTTTTGAGCTTTAAATAGTATGATACTTCCCATTCAAGATATCCTGACATGTTTAATATTATGATGCGTGCCGTAGAAGAATGGTCATCTTGCCCTGAAGTATGTTTTAGAAAAGCTTCTGAAAATGTTGTTGTGTAGAAAAGCCGTTTTACTCATCGGGTTCAGGTAATGACTCCGATTTTTCGCTTGCTGGCGGAGTTGTGCCAAAATCGGCAGCAACGTCTGAAGTTTGAAATGAGCAGCTGCAGTGCCGTTCTACTTTTCAAGGAAGCGAGCAAGATTATCTGCGCATACGGTTAGCCTCCCACATTGATTGCCTTCTTTTATTTTTTCTCAGTGCCATTTCACGTACCTGAGACTTCGACGGTAACGCGTTTTTTCTAATCACTAATGTTTAGGTAATAGAATTCTTGTTATGCCTGATGTGCCAAAAGAGCGTGCTTATGCCGAACGCTATAAGAATATTGGAATTATATTCAATGTGCTGAAGTGTGCACTTATCGGAGCCTATGTGCCATTCGGTTAGTTTGAAACATCTGAATATCTCTCCTCCATAATTCCAGTCACTGATATCCAGGAGTTTTCCGATTATATGGTGATCCCTGCCTCCAAGATTCCCTCAATATGTTCGTTAAGCTGTTCATGAAAATTCCTGAGGAAGATTTTCACGTGAGTTACTTAATTTTTGACATTATGGTTCCAGTTTCTCTCTTCAGTATTGGATTGTATTGAATCTTTTCACAATTCGGAGCTGGAACCTAAAATGGTACTTTATTACTATAGACACTGGTTTGTTTTTGCAAGCGACAATTACTCGTCTATAACCGCTCAAAATCCAAAGATTCAATCCACGTCCAAACTTATGTAGCAGAGGTCGTCTTGCCCTCCATTTCACGATATAGTTCATGCTCCTAGGGGCAAAGGTCATCC